GCGTGTCTGCAAAGGTGAATTTGTGAGGGGGGGAAATTAGTAATCTATTACTATTTGTCAGTCTGATACACTAAAGCATTCAAATAGCTTTAAAGGAAATATAAACTTGAACAGATATGCTTTCCATTAAAATACTCCACATTTTAATCTTGTCCTCCTCTATAACCAACATCTTGACTAAAGAGAAAAAGAGAACTGTAATTGCCAGGAAGGAAGGAGTTCAGATCTTTGCATACTCTTTGAGAATCATCTCCAGTTTCTGACCAAGTAGAATATTGCCCTTCACCTTCACTTTCCCAGTCAGAAAAGCCTTCTGGGGCTTTATCTTGCCCAAAGCAAGCTCCATGAAATCATGTTCAGAGAGAATAAAAACTGTGTTGGCAGGCTCATGAGATGCTCCGGGATAGAGCTGACCAGAACCAGACTTCAAATCCAGGGTCCACTGGGCCACAATCTTTCCTCCATTCATGATGTCCCACTGAAAGACAGCATTCACCTTTTTCACAAGTTGACTGCCAACACCTTTGATGCGGCGCCCAATTTCCTCAAAAATAAAATCGCTCTGAAGCCCAGGGCCTTTTGCTGAAGCATTTCTAGGTGCTATCAGAGGTTCATACGAAGCTGAAACAGCAGTTTGTTGACTTGCGTTGATTTCCATTTGAATTATTTCTCTCCACATCTTCTCTTACAAATGTTTGGAGAATGAGCAATTGTTATCTCACTTTGTATATAAGAGCTAGGGTGTTACCATACCTCTTTTCACAAACAGTATTTACATTTCAGTAATAAACTGAAGTAGAAATCATTGTTGGGTGGACACATTGTGCAATCAGATATGGCAGCCAGTCAGCATTAAGGTTTAGTTGGTTTGTATGCTGTAATCTCATTGGTGGATATACTTTATTGTGACAGGCAAGATTTCTTATAGTTAAAAGGCATGGGTGTGTATGTGTGTGTGTACACAATGTGTATATAGACTGTGTGCCTACAACTGAGTTTTTTAATGAAGAATTTTTTGTCATACATTTTGTCTACATTATAAAATTTGACTTTTCTTGAAGAATTTCAATTATATGAAGCCTGCGGTTTGCCAAATAGTATTTATTTAGATACAAAAAATGTATAGCTCTTTAACATTAAGGAATGGATTCAAGTTATGCGCTCCTTATTGATTTTTTAAAATATTTTCATATTTTAAGAATGATAAAATGGAACAATGTGTTTTGGTATGGTCTAAATTTAGTAATATGATTAAGGTTTGAAGTAATTTCATATTGATATTAATTTATTGATAAATTAAATAAATATAAATAAATATAAATCCAGATGGTCCTGGGAGGCAAACAGAAATAAAAATGGGAAAGACAAAAGCCAGTCAACAAAAGAAATGTTAAACTCAGAGAAAAACCCTCATATTTTTTTAACAATCACATTGTCAAAAAGCCTGAGAAAAGAGCCAGATCCTAAGGGCTCATCGAAAGGAGAACAGGGTGGAGATGCTTTGGATTCTAGGGGATATTATCCAAGAAGGCAGACACTACAGAGGAGACCTGCTTCCTGGATCCATCAGATGACTTTTATAGGACCCAGAACATGCCAATTCTGAGCACATAGGATGAGCAGAAACCATGGGGGCAGATGATCCCTCAAATAATCAGCATGCATGGCTTTACAGGTGATAATTAACACTTTGAATTGTACCCCAAGCTTATTGGTAACCAATGCAGCTTGTAGAGTTTATTATATGGACATACTAAGCCTTGCCCATTACTGTGCATATCTGAATCAGCTGCAGTTTTTGAGTGATCTTCAAGGCAGCCCCATTTAGAATATATTGCAATGGTCCACAAATGAAGAAACCAAGCATGAATGACTGCAGAGGTCCAGTGCACAAACAGTTCAACTTGTGCACAACACAAATCTGTGCGAATGCCTTCCTGGCTACATCTTCCTCTTTTCTCTTTGAGGGACACCTTAATGCCTAGGACAACCCTCAGAAAGCATACCAATCTCAAATGAGGAAAGGCAATATTGTCTATAACTATAGGTAGAAAATCCCCAGACAATGATTCTCCCAGCATGTAAAGCTCCCCACTCTTGCTTAAAGTTAAACCTGATTCTGTTTCTTCCCCATTCACATGCCAATAGCCTCCAAGTGCTGAGATATTATCTATTAACATCATTTGGAATGCCAGGGGTTGGGATATACAGGTGGGTACCATTAGTGTACTGACACCTGACCTTGAAACCAATAGATAACATCATCCAGGAGCCTCATATGAATGTGAAGCAAGATGAGAGAGCATCAAACTTGTGGCACCCTCCAGATGTAAAGAGTAAAAACTGAAGACTATGACAGTTTTGCAAAATACATTACCAACAACAAGAGGTGCAACATACCTTAAATCCACAAGAGACAGAAAATACATAGAAGAGAGTCAGATAACTTCCCAATTCACTGGACTATAAGATAAAGGAAGTAAGGACAACAGGGCTTACAAGAATCTGTTATTTTAGAATCTGGTTTACCATCAGTTCACGGTTTTTGGCTTGATCTCTCTGGTCTTGTCAACACTAGCAGGAATTGGCCATTTAGAAAGGAGCAAAACCACCACAGAACAATGCCTCTTACTCCCAATCCCTATAAGCCAGGGGTATCAAACTGCCGGCCCTCAGGCCGGACGCATCATCCGGAAGCCGCACCCACCCCATTGCCGGCAATGGCAAAACTGTCCCGATAACTTTGCGCGACGTCGCGTGACGTCGCGAGTTTGACATGTCTGCTATAAGCAGTCCAGAAGGATATCATAGATTGCTGAAGATCAAAGAGGGCCAGTAGGGTCCTTCAGATGTTGTGGAATCATAACTTCCTCAAATCCTAATTACGATGACTAGTACTGAAGAAAAATAAAGCATTTTACTTCAATAGTATCTGGCCCAGGGAGATTTCAAACTGGATCAGGATTCAAAATTATCTGAGTTCTAATTTTCCAATTAAGACTTTAGAATTTGCTGTTATCTCCAAATAGTAGGCTTAAAGGTGCTGAATATAATGCAAACAAAATGCCTGGGAATCAAGAGTGTTTAAGATTTATCTCAAAAACAGCCTGCTTAGGAATATGGTTCTCAGAAAATACTTTCCCAGTTCAGCCATTTATTTATTTAATTTAATTTTCACATTTCTGAACTGCCCATCTCCCTCAAGATTTGTTATCAGTCAGTGCTGTATATGAAGACCTTACAAATAAAATTCAGTGTTTTTTGCGTAAAACTCGCAAGCTATATTAATAGGGAAGCAAGGAGTCAACAAGGAGTATATGGGAAAGGGGGAGTAAACTTTCGAAACAAAATACTAATTTAAGAAGTGATGTACTACAGCTGCAGAAAAAAGACCACACCTGGAGTGGATAGATCTGGTTATTTCTGTGTTTCACCACTATGTCTCTTTCATAAGCCTAAAATTTCCGTGCATGGAAAGATTTGCATAGAATATATATTTAAATAATATTTTAAACGTAATTTATCAGCAGAGGTATATTTTGAAATATGTTCCTTATCTTGAAATACAAGTTGTTAAGTGCATCTTGAAGCAAAAGATTTTGAGGCAAAAGTTATTTGCACAAGATTCAGCTCAGTTTGGGTTACATCTGAATTCACAATGGCAGGATTTTGGAAATTCTCTTAGTCTGTACCTCTTTCAAAGAATTGAATGCATACATAAGAACAAAAGATTTGAAAATAGCAACTTCATCTCTTTAATGGCAAGGGGCTAATTTTGTGAACTCTGGGCCATTCCAAACATAATTTAACAGACAATAGTTATCTTCCAAATCTTCAGCAGTTTTACTAATTCTGGATCTGACAAGAACATCTATATTACACACATATGTTTATATGTACACATTTAAAAATAATATTCAGGCTATGAACTATTAAGAGATACTTCAAATTAATATAAAATTCAAGTTTTCATACTGTTCTTTATTCAAATGTATAATTCAGGGGTCCCCAACTCCCGGGCCACAGACCGGTACCGGTCCGTAGCCCATTAGGAACCGGGCCACACAGCTGGAGGTAAGCAGTAGGAAAGTGAGTGAAACCAAAACCATTCCCTCCCAGTCCGTGGAAAAATTGTCTTCCACGAAACCGTCCCTGGTGCTAAAAAGGTTGGGGACTACTGGTGTAGCTAACTAGTATGAAAGCTCAAGGAATATTTATATTGCAATATGTATGATTTACATACATTAAGTCAAACAATACCCTGCCATCATATGATCAATATGATTAAACAGTGACACTGTCAGATTACAATGGTATCTTAAACAACTGTTATTTCCTAGGATACAGATAACCATGAATCACAGTATAAAATAGTATAAAATGAAAAGATACATCATTTGAAATGATAGCAAATTCTGTATCTGACAAAGACTATAGTAAGAAAATAAATTTGCTAACCCTGATTTATAAAAATATGATGTTTCCAACTTTTCAATATATCAGGGTAGTTGCTATAGGTGTGTTGCCTCTATTGTTTCCCTCAGGGTCAGGGGTATAAGATCTGACTGCCTTTATTGGCTCTGCAAAAATGTCACCATATTAAGAGAAGTATCACTGACTCTCAAGGCCACCGTATTTATGTTGTAATCAAAAAGCCCTTTCCCAAGAGAAACAGCACCATGTAGAAAAATGGCAGTTGAAGCTCTCCTTTGCTCCAACTCTGCTCCTACTGGAGCTTTCGTTCCCATATGACTGGACAAAAAGTGCAGGACTGGGAGGGCCTGGTATTTGAATGACATATTTTCCCATGCTGCCACTCTGGTCACCAGCAGCCAGTGAACACAAGAGATGGAAAATACCTAAGGAAAGTAAGAACTGCCTTAGAGATATTTAAAACAAAAGAAGGATTTCATTAAACTTTCCTAATAAGACAATTTTGATATCTTAACACTAAAATACATTGAAATGTCTTTTAAAAAACAGGCTTACCAAATAGAAAAATTGTTCAGGTGCTGTACTTTATTAATAAAGTTCTTCCCTTTGAAAAAGTTTAACAGACATATATAAACACACACAGTTCACAGGTTAAATAATTGGTAAATTAATCTAACTTGAATTCAGTTTTTTTCCACAGATTGTACAGCCAGTGACACACTCAACACACAAACAATGCATTTTATACTTTGTTCTAAAAAGATACATTAGATGTACAAAAAAATAGAAGCATGCTCCTACAAAAAAAAAAGTAAGAGAAAAATTATTTTAATGAAAAGGATCGTAAGATTCATTATATTTATGCTGCTACGGCTTGCGTAACAAATTTTCCTCCTTAGTAATGGAGGCCTCCACTGATGAGATGAGGGCTAATGCAGCAGCACTGTTCCTTCAGGTAGAGCCAAGGAAGCACAAACAGTCTTGTGCACAGAGAAGGAGCTACTGCTGTGACTATCCCTCACTTCAGTGTTTGGAAGGTAGAAGATGCAGGAGACTCTCTCCTACACAATATGGGCCTTCTCATATTGTCTGGCAGTGTGGAAAGGAAGCACAGAAAAATGTCAGAAAGAGCTGTGTACAGATCCACAAACAGGACTGATTTCTAAAACAATAACTATGGTAGAGTTGTCCCACTACACTAGCAATATTTAGAGTATGAAAAACATCAACACATTTCAGCTGGAAAAGGATTCTATCAGGATTTAACCCATCCTTTACTGAGGGACATTTCATTTCAAGTATTGAGTTGAACTTTAAGAGACATTCTAAGCAGCATACAGCTCAAAATACAAATGGTGGACTATCTTCTGTCCTCTTCATCAGCTTGGAAAATACAAAACAGCCTGGGGATTTCTCTGGGGAGTCAGATTGTTTGGGGGGGGGGGCATGCAAGATGGAGAACACCTGCACTTCTATTCTGCTCCTCTAGCTTTTGATAGATTGATCATGCCCACTGGAAGAGCAGAGGGGGGAACTGTTGTCATGATGAGAGCATTTATGCCAGGAACCATATCCACTGGTAAAATAATGTGGGTATTTCACATTTATATGAAACTTAACTATATGGTAGGGACAGTTATATGGTTTCTGCAATGAAAATACGGCAAATAAGAAATGACCCAAATAGAAATTTGCTTTAAAACCTATTAACAGTGGACATTGATGACATTCCTTTGGTTGTTTGTAATACAGCATGATGGAGATCCTTACTTCTGATTCAAATTCTCCTTCTGGGTCAAATAATTTTTCATCTAGAAATTTAGCATCCTCACCTCATGAGCACAGAAGGTCACCAGTAGTGTTTTATGAGCTTTCCTGTTAAAAAGAAAGGGAAGAAAGAAAACAAATCATAATGTGATACAGAAAAAAAAACAACCTTCCATTCTCCAGATACATGTTAAGTTGCCACTGGCTTTAACTCTCAATTTAATCATAAAAAGGAGACAATTTGATTCTGACTAGCATTTTAAACATCTGTTCAAATTTTCAAAACAATCTTTCTATATGTCATCATGAGTAATTTGCTTGGCATTTCTCAAAATAAATACCTGAGGCAGTTTTTCTGGAAAATCCTTCCACTCAATAGCTACAAGTACATTTCCTAAACACTGTCCTGAACATCATGCAAATGATTCACTGGATTTGTGTAGTCAATGCTGCCCAGGAAATCTCTGTGGCTACACTCCCATTACTCAGGGATGTAATTTCCAAATATGATGCTACAATATGGGTATACAGTATCTAAGTTAGATGGATGATGCTACTGCCAATTTTAGCGGTGAAAGAGATAAGGAAATAATTGTATAGTTTTCTTATGCCCCAATGGCATGAAATTGTGGATCTTTTCAACATGGAAACTTCATTTTTCAAAGTATATTCTAGCCAAGAACAAGTGCACATGTTTCGGGAACTATGTCTGTTGGAGAGCAACCCACCCAGTCGGGAGGAGGGCTCAAATAGGGAATTAGTTTGGACTTGTTACGTAAACACAAAAGGGCAAGGTCTGACCTCCCTGAATGTCTTTAAGCCTTATCTAGTCTTTCCCACGCAAAAGCTGGAATAAGCATAGAACAATAAAATAATTAGTTTGAACTCTACACATGAAGTCTGGTTGCTTGTGCCTGACAATGCACCATCCATTCTTTTATCCATGGAATTAACTATATACAAATGAAGCTCCTACATACAGTATATCTTTCTAATATGGTATTAGCCCACAGGTAGTCTTCAGTTAACAACAGTAATTGGGACAGGAATTTCTATAACTAGCTGATGCACTCATAAAGTGTGATGTCATGTGACATCATTTAATGACAGCAATCCTGGCTCCCGCTGTTAAGCAAGTCTCAGGTGGATTGCAAGCAGGACAGCAGACAGATAAGGCATACTGCAACACATGGGTTAGGCACAGCAGGTCCAAGGCAGGCGGGGGCTGTGTGGGAGACCTGCAAGCACAGGTTGAGCGAAGTTGGGCCAGAGGGTGACTGCTGCCAGGTGAGAGAGGATGCGAGTGACTTACCAGAGTAACTTGTGAGCCTCCCTGCCAACATCCCCATTGATTTTGCTTGATGAAAGTCAGCAGAGAGTCAACAAATGGTTTTCTGACTGCAGGATGCTGCAACCATTTAATTGCGACCCGGTTGCCAAATGCCCAGATTACAATCATGTGATTGCAGGTGCTGGGTCAGCCAGAATTCTGAGGACTGGTAGTTAACTGCCACTCACCAGCACCATAGTAACTTAGTAACTCAATCAGTTGTTGAATGAGTGGTTGTTAAATGAGGACTAAGTACAGTTCATCATTTTATTCACTACCAATATCCCTCATACTGTAATATTCAATAGAAGAAGATGCTGCATAACAGAGAAAAAACTCAACCCCCCTTGACTGAGTTGTTGATGTTGTCTTTAAAAGGATGATACAAGACAATGGAATGTTAAGAACAATATCCTTGTTCTTGTGATATTGTCTGCCACATATTTATTGCTGTGTTTAATCTAGATTGTTTATTTTTTGTTTTGTTTTTATGTCGTGAGTTGCCCAGTTGATTGAAATTGGGCAGTGTTTAAGTTGAAATAATACAGGAAAAGTATGTCTGATTTTAAAAAAGCAACAAATCAAGGTAATCTACAAAGGGACATGATGTTTTCCGATAATGCAAAGATAAGACAAAAAAAATATAGTACTTACATTCAGACATGATCAAAACACGCATTTTGTCAAGAATGCAAAGAATGGAAAGAAAACAGGGAGGATAAAAATGGGAGGGAGGAATAAAAGCTTTAGGGACTTATAAGCATTGAGGCAGACAACAAAAAAAGACAAAGAAGACAGATCAACCTTGATGCCTGAATAGCAGCCGCTGAACTTTATAATGAGTAAATGATTTGTATTGTAAAAGTAATCCAGGGTATAGGAATAATGGCACTAAAAGAAAACCAAGAACATTCAGCATGGATTTGAAAGCAAAGGAAAGCAGTAAGTTTGGCAAAAAATTAGCAGGAAATCTAATCTTCCTAAGATTACACATGTGTATTAAGCTTCCTAAGATTCTAGTATTACTGTTCTTAAAACTAAACTTCCTAAAATTCCTACACTAAGACTATCTTTTGAACCACGTGCCTTCCTGACAGAGATCATAGAATTGTAGAGCTGGAATGGCCCATGGGTTATGTAGTTTAACCCGCAATGTATGGAAAACCATTTAACCCATCCACGAGAAAGAGAGAGTACTATCTAAAATATTCTTTAAAATCTCCAGAAATAGCGCCTACACAATCTTTATAGATAGACTATTCCATTATTGTACAGATCTTACTCTCAGAAATTTTTTCCTTATGTTGAAATGAAATCTAGGCAGTTGCAACTTATACTCATTATTTCTAGTCCTACTCTATATGGCAATGGAAAAATAGTTCATGCCCTCTTCCCTGTAGTTTCTACATGTACCTGTATGTGGCTTATGTGCCTATATATGGCTTACTGAATATCCCAAATTCTTCAGTATGTCTGAATAGGGCACACCCTCAACTCCTTGTACCATCTTTGTTGTTGCCATTCTCTAGTCTAAAACATCTCCAGGCTGCCAATACAGGTAGTCCTCGAGTTACAAATGTAATGGAGCCTGCCCATTCCATTCGTAACTTGAACATTTGTGGGAGTGAATCTCGTACCTTGAACGCAATTCATTCCCTGCTTTCGCCCATGCATGGGCAAATGCGCTTTTTGTTAACTGCACATGAGGTATCTCAGGGTGGGGAAGGCCATGGAGGGCCTAGTGATGGAACATCGGAGCCTTTTCCAAGCTGCTGCTGCCTGGTTCTGAGGCCAGGGGATGCTTTACATGCCTCTGGAGGCCGGAACCAGGCGTCGAAGGCCTTTTCCAGGTCGCTGCTGCTGGGATCTGAGGCCGGGGGATACTTCCACGTGCCTCCAGAGGATTGTTTCCGGGCGGTGGCAGCCTCGAAAAGGCCTCTGACACCCAGATCGGGCCTCCGGAGGCATGCAGAAGCATTCCCCGGCCTCATTTCCAGGTGGCTGCTTCCGGGAAATGGCTTCCAATGCCCTGATCGGGCCTCCGGGGGGCGGAGGAGGCATCCTCTGGCCTCAGATCCCAGTGGCAGCAGCCTGGAAAAAACCACCAATGCCGGATCCAGCCTCCGGAGACACGCAGAAGCATCCCCTGGTTTTGGTTCTGTTCTCTGTTGCAGAGAACAGAGGCCTAAAATACCATGAGATCAGGTGAAATCAGTAGCGTGAGATCTCACACCACTGATCTCACATGATATTGTGTTACTTTAGGCCTTCATTCTCTGTGAATACACCAAAGGCCTGGAGCAGCCAAGAAAGCGAAGAATCTCTATCTTTGCAGGGTGAGTATTGAAGGCCTGGTGCCTAGGGAGACCGGGGGCAGGGGGGAGGGAGGGAATAATCATGGTGAATGTTGCAATGCCACTGCAGTCGTTCATTAAGGGTGAATGACTGCCTGGTGCGGCAACATTCATAATTCCGGGACTTGCTCATAAACACTAGGGGGCTCTTATTACATAACTTCAAACGTTCCCTAAGGGAACGTTCGCAACTTGGGGATTACCTGTATTTAACTGAAAATGAGGAGCCCTAAATCATACATAGTATTTCAGGTGTTGTCTCACTAATGCCAAGTAGAGAGGAATAATGACTCTGTGTGTCTTTGATATGTTTCTTCAGTATAGCCCAGAACTGCATTAAACCTACTAGTAACTGTCTTACTCTGCTGACTCTTATTCAACTTCTTGTCAATGTAGCAGTTTTTAACTCTCACAATACCCAATCAGCAGAAAGGTATTGCCGACTGAGAATTAAAGGACCCTAACTAGCTTATTTGGACCACATATGGCTAGAAAAGGCTATGCTAAACACTCTTTTAACAGTTTATTGATATTGTAGATAAAACCTAAATGTAACAGAATTCTATGAATGGAATCCAGAAAGGTTAGATTGAAAGCAAGGTGATGAAAGGGAATTATAATAGGAAGACAGAAGTAAGGATCAAGAGGAAAGGAACTTGAAGCATTTAGATTGCTTATGGCCCTGCGAGCAAATTACTTGGAGAAGAATAATGTTAGTTTCAGGTAGAGAGCAGAAGGAAGTGACTGTGGCTGACAACTTCAATTTTTGTTACTACTTCAATTTTTGTTACTACCAAAACAAAAGTTTGTCCAATATGAAAGAAGAAGGAGGAAATGTCCTTTTTAGACAGTGATAAGAAAAAAAATCTGTAAACACTTAAGAACTATCTGCATTTCTGATAGACCTTTACCTAAATCCTATAAAAATATAAGAGTTAATGGTTAAACAAGCAACACATAAAAACGGTGTACTGCATTACATCTATATTGAATGCAATCAACATTTACTGACTACCTTTGTTGGAAAAGTGTGCGAAGCCTTAAAAATAAATTAGCTTTCTTAAGGGATAATTTGAATCACACATTCCAGTCAATAAGACCTATTCTCAGTTTGAGAAAGGGCCTTCCCGATAAAAACAAACACACACATGCACAAGTTGTCCCCATTAGAATCTATTCTTCCCAACACAAGTCAATGGAAATGAATTGGAAGAACTCTCTTCAGACTTTAGAAAAATGGTTATGGATACTCATAAGGCTAAAAATGGACAAAAAAACATTGCCAAAACTTTGGCTTCAGTCAACTCAGTTAAGCAGGCAGTCTACAAAATGGAGAAAGTGCAATTTCATTCTTACTTTTGTAGAATGGCTGTTCAACAAAAATCACTCCAGGAGAAAGGCATATAGTATTTCTCTGCAGGCTA